CACTCTTTCATAAAAGCCTTGGGGCAAGTAATAATGTGTTCTAAAATAACTCCATTTATCAATCTATCTGTTGCTCCCTTGGTGAATTTAATTGTTATTCCTGGCTGCTCACTTCACTAGGTAATATAGCTATGTCCTGCACATATAGAACAATATGCATAATAAGCCCAAAGATAAAGTCAGGGGCATTATTTGAAAACATGAAGGCTAGCATCAAAACAAGAGACTCTTTTTTTTTTTTTTCCCTAAACTGAGTCTCGTATTATTTCCTGAACTGAGTATCAATATATTTTCCTTAAATGTCCTATGAGGAAAAATGATTAACTATGTTGGCTACTAGGTTATAAAAGCAATTGAAGAAGGCTATCGTTTGCCAGCACCCATGGATTGCCCGGCAGGACTGCACCAGCTGATGCTAGATTGCTGGCAGAAGGAACGTGGTGAAAGGCCAAAGTTTGAGCAGATAGTTGGTATTCTGGACAAAATGATTAGAAATCCAAACAGCTTGAAAACCCCACTGGGAACCTGTAGCAGGTAAGAAAACTTTAGTGTGTGTTCTTATGGTGATGATGGGTTCTGGATATTCTGCTTGGTGACTGGTTCCAGTTCACACCTGCTCCATGTCTCTCAGTTCCTCCTTCCTTCTGTTCCCTGTTCTTCCCTTATTTGCCCTTTTTTGTTTATCATGCTGAACAAAACCAAAAAGGACTTTCTTAAAAAAATAATCAAAATAAATGAACTAAATTTCATGGAACTAACACATCTTTTGGTAAACTACTGCTCACTCATCAGTCTTTCTATACTCTCACCACTAGCAGTCTTTGTTTTTCTTGTTTCTTAAAATTGTGAAGTCTGGAGGGCAAGGATCATCATCCATTATAGTTTCATATGATGCATTTCTTGCCCTAGGAATTGCTGTGCTAGAAATAGTAATTAATAATACTCATGCTTAACCAATGTGCTTTACCATGCTACACTCTAGACTTTTCATTTTCTAGCTTTAACTCCTTTCAGTGATTGCATCTCATTGTACTTCATGGTGTAGCATTTAGTGGCTTCTTCACAAATTTCTGGTGAATTATTTAATCATGGTAATCTTTTGATCTACTAGCTAGATCACTGCCCTAGGAAATCAACTGGCCTGTGTTCTGCTCTTGGTTCTTCTACTGACTGATTTGCTGTATGACCTTAAGCAATTTACTTTGTTTTTCTGCTCTTTCCTTGTCTTTGTTTTATCTCATCCAACTGAATAATGGGAATAGCTACTACTACTATATTTTTTAAGATGCTAAAAAGAGTAGCATCTTTCTGTTACTCAGCAACTTTAGTTGCAGCTGCTGTCATGCTAGGTAATAAGGTTGATTTTCTGTTGGTAACAATAGTCCATTAGGCTGATTTTGCTCACTCTGGCCTTTCATCTTTTGCGTGAATAACCGTAGCGAGTACATTTGTGAGCTACAGAGTAGTCAAGAGCTATTTACAGAGTAATCTAAACTGTGTATAAAGGCTTATTACTTTTTACTCTTGACATTTTTAATACCCCAAACTTATTTGACTCTCACCTTGCTAAATACTCCCTGATGTTTTACTCTCTTTGGAAACAACTTACTTTCCTTTTTCCTTCTCTATAGACCAATTAGCCCTCTTCTGGACCAGAACACTCCCGATTTTACCACTTTCTGCTCCGTAGGCGAATGGTTACAAGCTATTAAGATGGAAAGATATAAGGATAATTTCACAGCAGCAGGCTACAACTCTCTTGAATCAGTTGCCAGGATGACTATTGAGTAAGTTAGTACTGGGCATGTTTAACTTGCATTTAGGGAATGTCTAGGTAAAGTTATACACAATGTTCAACTCCAAGACTTTACCCTGAGTACAAACATGGTACTTGGGGTTAAGCCAGCTGGTTTAGCAGCTAATGATGTTATATTAGATCATCTCATGAAAGAGCAAATACCTTGCTACCTGTGTGTGTCTTCACATTTTTCCCTACTTTTGAGACTGATTGAAAATAACACCAAGGGGCTAGAATTTGAGTGAAAATGTGGCCCATTTCAAAGTATATACATATAGGAAAATAACCACTTTGCCTCCACTACCTAATTGGTGCCTTTTTCCAGATGTGTACTAGGAAGATGTGGAATTTTCTTCTAATTGGCTGGGGGCTGTCTGTGTCCTGCAAGAAATGATTTTGCGTCAGGATAAAAGTCTATAGAAGCAAAGCAATTTTCTGAAGGCAAGCATGGCCTTTATTGGTACTGCCACCTTAAGCCGGTCTTTCTGGCGCCCTGCACACAACGTTCTTGTCCTGATGGTTGATGAATACATGTAAATCCTCTTACAGAAAGCAGTGGTTTTCTAAATAAGTTTCTAAACAACATGCTCAAGCTTGCAACCCTACTCTTATCTACCTGGTATCACTAGGGGTCTCAGCCTATAGCTTGGGAACTGTCATCAGAGCCCACAGGCTTCTACTAGATCAGTAGCACTAGTAGCGGTGGAATGAAACTGCTGCTCTTCTTTCATTTGCATGATGGGTGTGGGACAATATGTGAAGGGTTTCTCTAGTCATCTCTTTAGGAAGCAGAATGTGATCCCCAAAATCTTGAATTTATACATAACTTTGTCCTGAAAGCCACCTAAAGTATTTTACAAGAGAAGTGTCTTGTAGTGCAAAACATACTGGCCTCATTCTTAGATGTGGAGACTCATGCAGTGTAATTACATGACACTTGCCATGAAATTACACTCCTCACTGAAAAGTTGGGCAGTTTCTGTATGAACTTCACAGTACTGAGCTGAGGCTCCAGTGTAGCTTGAATGGTAGAAACTTGTAGCCCAGAGCACTACGTAGCTTTGACTCACAGTTGAATACCATACAATAGCAGTCTAAGTTGAAAAATTAACAATGTACGCATTTATCTTCCCCAGGGATGTGATGAGTTTAGGGATCACGTTGGTTGGTCATCAAAAGAAAATCATGAGCAGCATTCAGACTATGAGAGCACAAATGCTACATTTACACGGCACTGGCATCCAAGTGTGATAGACATTTCTCCCTTATGAGGGAGGTGACAGACTGAGAGAACAGCACTGGCCTTCAGTATATATGAAGTGCTGCTAGAAGACACTTGATTTCCTGGGTCCTTCCTGCAGTGAATAGAAGAGCTACAAGAAGCACCTACAGACTTGAACTCCTAAGTGCCACCAGAGTTTATGAAAAGGGAATTAGGATCCACCAGTGGTGGCAAGGAAAACAGCAGTGACAATAAACAAAGTACTACCTGAATAAACATACAAACACCTTGAGCTCTCTAACCTCCTTTTTATCTAATAGACTTTTTAAATGTACATAAAAATTTAAAAAAGAATATATTTGTCAGATAAAATCATGATATTATTGTTGAATTCAACAAAATATTTTCCTTAAATCTGTGATTTCTGAATCTTTTTTTAATCATTTGTGTTTATTCTTCATAAAGACTTTCTTTTAGTATGATGTTTATATCTTTGGACCTTTTTAGTGCTACTTCTATGACACATTACTACACTGGGTACCTCTGAAGGATTATTTGAGTTCCTAGAGATTTAAGAAGCATGACCAAGCAATGTATATCTGTCCGAATTTTGGTATCCTTTTGTCCCGTTTACTTTTGTTAAATCAGCACCGTATTGACAGGCTAGCTAATTGGCAGGGAGTCAGGAAAATGCAAGTTGCCAAGAGCTCTGATATTTTTTAAAGAATTTTTTAAGGTTACACATATAGTATCTTTTAAAAGAAAATAAAAGAGAAAAAAAAAAAGAAAAAAGAAAAGAAAAGCAATAATGACCCCTAAGTAGTTCTAGGCACTTTTAGCAAATTGTTTGCAAGATGGTTTTAATGGTCTAGAGTTAAAGTGAGTTATATTCTAAAATGTAGATCTACAACTATAAATCTGCTTAGACACAGCATTGAAGGGACAAGTGATTGTAGGAGTGTCTCAGAACATGGCTGCAGTTCTCCAATGTTACCTAAACCATTTAATCTGAGCACATCACTTTTTTTCAATATTCTACGTTAGCAAATCTGAGAGAAACAGCTGGTGTATATTTTATATGAGTTTAAGCCGTATGCAGTCCAGCTGTAAGAATAAAGACATAGGTTTTAAATGAGAACTGTAGAGCATGAGGCAAGGGGCAGTTCAAAATTTTCAATTTTTTGTAAGCTTTTGCTGCTCTGAAAAAACTTGCGTGTGCATGCTCGCACAGACACAACACTCATTTGTCAGGAACACAGATGCAAGAGTAGTTGCTCAATGGACTATCTTTTTACGCCATTTACTTATATATGAATTTTGTTTGATAAAAATATTTAAATGCTATAAGCAATAATGAATGGTGTCTTTACAGATGTTGCAGGAATGTATACAAACCAGAGAGAAACGCTTTAAAAAAAAAATCTGAAAATTATGAACTACCCCAGCAATGAAATGCTGTACTTCCAAAGAGAATTGGGCTGCTTCTATTGATTTTGATAGAGAAAGATCCCAGGGATCAGTCATAAATTGGTCTTGTTTGATAATGTGGGCATCCACACAAAAAAAATAAAAACGAAAGAAAAACCCTGTAAATGTTCCTTTGTAAAACTTGTAAATTTTATTTATACTGTCTTGTTTTGTACACACATTTATGTGTAGTGAGCTCTGAATACATTGAAAATGCACTATATTTTTCTATTTTACTTGCAGAGCATCACGAACATGTATATTCAGTGCTACATAATGTGTTTTCCCACATTTAGGACCAAAGATAGTTATCAAAAACTGAAATGCATCATTTTCCTCCTCCTTTTTTCTACCCCTTTTTAGATCACTGTACAGTGTTATATTTGTCATTTTATTTATTTGTTTCATTAGAAAAATAAGTTTGGTTATACTAATTTTTTGTCCCCCCTGCCTTTGTTGAAGAAAATCTGTAAAAAGCTTTTAACTAGCATAATTCCGTTACATAGACACTTCCATTTGTAATCTTTGTAATAGACTGTAAATATATTTTTGGAACTATAATGCAATGTGCATAAGGGTTATTTTTCAGTGTCCATATATGATTGTTTATACAATTCACAGCACTTTACAGTCATGCTGAGAAGCCTAATTTATTGCCTGGATATGGGCAGAGTAAGAAAAAAAGGTGAATATTCTTATTTTGTATTAGATTGTCACTCAGTAGAAGTGGAGTTATTTTCATGTATGCAGCTCAAGAAGGTTTTTTAACTATTAAAATTAGTTTTCTAGGAAAGCTGTGGAAGTAAGGCGCAGAGTAGACTGCATGCCCGATATTGAAATTAGTGCGTACAAGCACTCAGCCAAGGCACTTCGAGTTGCCATTGGAACGCTCTCAATTCATGAACACCCACTTTGTGTTGTAACAAATGCCAAGTGCCTCACTACTGGGGTGAGCATCTATGGGCAACTTCGCAGGGTGCTTGTCAGTTCTGCCGCTGCTTTAGACAGCCAGCTATGAATATAGGAGTCTAAGTTCAGGCACCTACTTCCTTATAAATCTCAGCTGTTGCTTCTAAGGGCTTGGTGATTAAAAGGTGCAATGCAGCAATGCTGGTATTGCTGAGAACCCACAAACCCTAAATACCAGAGAGTTGAGGCCAGGCTTCACTTTTAGGATTTGTTCGATATTCTGAAGCACAGAGGCCTCAAAGCATATGTAGTGACCTGGGCTCACACATGTCAAAGTGAGGGCCCTAATGGTTTTTCTCCTTTATTTTTCCTTGTTTGATTTAAGCCATCTTCTTTGGATAGTGAGTATATTTTAACATTCATCTATACACCTTGACTGCCTTAATGTTGCCACAGATTTTTACACATTTGAAAGTGGTAGACTCAGAAAGCACAATCGCCATCAAGACTCCTATCGTATTTATCTGTTCACAACATTACTGCAATTTGGAGCACATGCATGTAAATGGATTTGTAACTGGTAGAGCAGCAACGTATCAATGTTGTTTGCTGTTCCCCAGGTTCCAGAAGAACACAGTCGAGTGTAGGAAAAATAAAGTGCCAGAGAAAGTAGTTGTTCATGGGAGGAGCTGAAGAAAAATTTGGGTCAGAGGGAGAATTAAAGTCTAAATGATGAAACAAATTATCTCAATTCTGGCTCAATTCTGTTGAATTTAAAAATCATGAATTGCTAAAGACAAAATATCAAGCAGTCAGTGTCTTTCTAGACTTCACCATCTATAAGAGAGATGCCTAAACCAAGCAGGATGAATCTGCCTCTGAGAATGCTTATCTCCAATACCTGTAGAGGGAACTCAGATGATTAGCTTAAATTAGGTATCTAATGTCTTAGGTGAGATGATTGCTACCCTATGTGTCCTTGGCTGCTACAGTTTTCCCCTCAAGCTGAGTGTCATAGAAAGGCAGCTCCTCCACTCCTAGTAGGCCCCAGATGTATTTAAATTGGACTTTATTACAGAGAGAGGTGATTTTTGTTCTTCTTATTATTCAGAGATTTGTAACAGATCATCTAAATGCTTTTTGTATATGGGTATTAATTCTGGGGAAAAAAAAAAAGTGATTATTCTGAGGAAGACCTGCCTAGTAAATTACAGTTTTTTAATATTTTAAATGATTAGGAGTGTTTGCTGACATACTGCTTCAGTCCAGAGGTTATGTGATCAGATATGAGAGTCGCTGTTTGCAAAACCATGTTTATCTAAAGCCTTGTCATGTAAAAATCTTCAGGAGGCAAAGATGCTTAAATGTGTCTAAAATTGAATGTTGCCCTTAATATCTCAGTAATTGAGCTCTGTCTGTATTATTTGCCATTTAAAATGAGTTTTTTATATTTGTTTAAGATTGAGTTATCTGGCATCCACTGAGGGAGTTTGAAAAAATTATTTTAAATTAAATTTGCTTTTCTTCACTAATAGTAATATACAGTAAATAGTTTCCACTGTTTTGAATGTTACAAAACCTATTGCTTTAATGTGGGGGATGAAGGGGTTTATTTTTGTTTTGTTGTTGGTATTTTTTTACATTTATTGGTTAGTAGTTCAAATAAAAAAAAATAACGATTTGTCCTTAACTTTCTAAATAATTCACATGTAGCAATTTTGAGAATTATTTAAATTCCTTGACTTTTGGGTTACTACTGAGATGATGGTCATGCCACTAATACCAAGCAATGCCAAGACACCCTGCTGCAAGGGCAGATTCAGCCAGCACTCTGTTACCCAGTAATAGCATGAAGCAGTCCACTGGCTGCGTGCGAGGAGTGAAGGCCAACTCAGCCAAAAAAGGGTCATACCACCTTTTAAAAAATATATGTTAGAGCTAACACATCCTTAATGCATTACTTCCCTGCTACTTCCTCATGATCGCCTTTGGGATTTTGGGGGGGTGTTGTTTGTTGGTTTTCTTATTTGTTTGTTGATTTCCTTGTTTGTTTGTTTTATTTCATTTTTAACAAGTGATATTTGGGGCGTTTGTGGAAGAGAACCGTTCCCAGAGAGAATGACAAATCCAGTTTAAGAAAAGTACAATACAAATTCTTGCCTAACAGTAATTCTGGCAGGCGGTGCTGAAGGGGTGTTCGGGCAATTGGTGCTATGGTTTGCTGAGCAGCTAGCACAGCAAGGCTTCTACATGTTCAGGACCTGTTAGGATTGTACTTCTGATGAACAGGCAAATTTTTTTTTCCCCACTAACTTGCAATGGACTTGCAGATGGTAGATTTGGGATTTGCAAGACTACCCGAAAGTCTTAGCCTCAAACTAATTTCCAGTAAAACAAGAAACTACAGGAAGCAGACTGTATTTTCCCTCCTATTCCCTTAAGGTTTATCAAACATAGCCAACAATCACTTTTAAATGGAGATCTTTATTTTTGCATAGTGCAGCCATCTATTTACATGGAAATAGGCAGTTCTGTGGTTAAATTTACTGCAGAAAATATTGGGAAGGGATGGAGGAGGGACAGGAAGTACAAAATTTTAGGGAACAAATCCACACGAAAACAAAGAAGAAAACAATCTGACAAATGATCTGTGAATCCCAAAGTATGACTGGACTCACTGTTTTTGTAATGCATTCCATACAGGAATTTGAAAAATATAAGAAAATAAACCATAGATATAAAATCTGCAGTATCCTGACAAAAGAGTAGTGGCGGAATGGATTTGGTTTTGTGATATTTTTGTCAGGACAATTAACACATGCATTTAGACTAAAATCTGTTGGGATAGGCTAAGTGACAAAATTAGTGTATCTGTAATATCCATAAAATTATCAGTGCACTTTCAGGGTGGCTAAGAGTTAAGCAGTTTGAAAGTAAAGGGAGTCATTTGGAATTTGTATAGGAGGTTCTGTCTGGTGAGATTATAACAGTTTAAAATTTAAAGAGCAAAACCCTCACTTTCGTACCTGGTGAAGAGCCAGAAGGTGGGAGGGAATGGAAGGAGAGGAGTGTGAAGCCATTCAGAATATGTGAATCTAAGTTGTAGCGCTTTGGAAGATGTTGCTGGCAGGGGAGTTAAGGAGTGTTGAGATTTTTTGTTTAACTAAAGAGACACTGTTAATAAAATATACCTAATATGTGGAGTGGTTTCAGTACTCTTATTTTTCCTCAGGCCAGATTGGAATTTGTCAAAGAGACTAAACTGAGACAGATGGGAAAGCAACTGGTAACACACAGCTCATTCAAGCAGACTTGAGAGACACGAAAGGAGAAATTTACATTAAAAGCCTGAAAATAATACGTGAACTCTGATGATATTTACTCTCAAAAGATTTTAGATTAGTTTTCTTTAGAGTAATGATAGCAAATTTTAACACTGATACAATACAAATTGGGTGAAATTAATGTCTAATTAGAGTGACCAAAAAAGAACCACAAGTCAAAATATAGTTGATTTCTTGATAGCCCGTGAAAAATGATGCGATACAGCCATGGAAAACTTGTGTAGTCAGCCAAATGAGTCTTGGACAAAACAAGACATAATGCCTACTGCCATAACCAGCTAAATCAGGAACAGAAAATCTACTCATCCATGGACCAAGGCTTTTG